TTCATTTTAGTGTTTGTATGTTGATGCCATCATTCATCTGGACGCCGGTCATTTGTCACTGTCACGCGCTTGCCTAAAACATTTGACGGTAGTGTGAAAATTTTTAAAGTGACTTGTTTTTTTAGCCCGTCGATCTGAAGCGACGTATAGAAAGCCTGATCGAGCGGGATTACATGAACCGCGACACCGATGATTCGAACAGTTATCACTACGTGGCGTAGAGGCGGTAGTGAGTTTCGCGATTGGTTGGAAACGCATCAAAGAACAAAACGGGGTTTCTCTAAGCTTGTTTGGAAATCGTCACGTGCGCGCGACTAAAACAAACGCTGTATTCATTTTGTTTCTGTTCTGACTTCAGTTTCCCGTGATAATACTGAATATTGAGTTGAAACATGCTTTGCAAATTTTTATACTTTTTTGTTTTTAAAAATCCTGTGAATAAACCGTTGGTCAACTGTTACGGTTTTGGTTTCGGTTCAGGATAACATCCTGGATATTGCTTTTTTAAAATGATTTATTGTTACTTACCCTTGTGGGTTCAGTTTAGGACAATGGGTAACAAGCCGACGATCAACGAGCAGGTAATAACGGCTGAAAAATGTGGCGTTCTTCAGCTCAGTGGCTATTCACTGAAAGAGCTGCCGCCGAAATTGTTGAAACTGAAGTCAACTCTACGATCTCTCGACATATCTAGTAACCGGATCGTTGAGTTGGCACAGTTTATCGGTCAGCTGGATAAGCTGAAAAAATTAAATTTGAATAAAAACCGTCTGAAAAGTTTGCCGCAGGAATTTACGGCTCTGGTGAGGCTGGAGGTGCTGACGATAAACAACAACGAGCTGATGAGTTTGCCATATGGCATGTGCGCGTTTCAGAATTTGAAGGTGTTAGAGATCTCGCACAACATGCTGCAGGAGTTTCCGATTATCGTGTGTCAGATGAAACAGCTGGACGTGCTGGACTTGTCGATGAATAAGATCGAGTCCATTCCGGACGGAATCGAAGGCCTGAACGCCATGGAGTTGAACATGAACCAGAATCAGCTGCGCCTCGTCTCTGAACGCATTGTCAGTTGTCCTAGGCTGAAGGTGTTGAGGATCGAAGAGAACTGTCTGTCGCTGGAACCAGTGCTCGACAGAATATTGCGAGAGTCGACCGTGTCCCTTTTATGTGTCGACGGCAACCTGTTCGATACGAGAAAGTTCCAGCAACTTCCTAGCTATGATATATACATGGAGCGGTATACGCGCTCGAAAAAGAAGCTCTTTTGACAGCTTAGTGATATACCTTACGGTCCTGCTACAGACATGACAATGGTTCTTTCTAACGGCTATGTTTACAACAATTAATTTTTGTCAGGCATGAATCGGCACGTTTTCTCTGTCTACTCTCTAATGAGTTGTTTGCTGCGATGCTGTACATTTAAGTGAGAGTATTCTCGGTCTGTATGACTCTATCTTTATCCGATACTGGCTAATGAATAACTCTATATCTTTCATCTTGCTCTTTAAAATGTGTTATTCCGCGTTATATCCACTAAGGCGATGCGACTTCTTTTAGCGGATCTGTACAGAACAACACTCCATATCGTGCTGACCGAGTGCGGTCGTGGTACGTGCTCATGTCAACAGATAAGTTTCAAAATATATGAAATGCAGGATATTTTGTTCATGCGTTATCACGGCAAGTGGAATCGAGTACTTTCACTGTGTGCAACGTAAACGACTGCTCAGTCGGTTGTTAAACCAGTATCGATGTTTGAATCTGATCTCACTGACCGTTTCGTCGTAAGGTGGTCGTTGTCTCTACTGTTAACTGCGGCATCGGGACCGTTTCAATTCATGTTGTTGCTCTACTAGGTTCAGATGCAGCGAGATTCGTCCAGTCCACGCAGAGTTGGGACTCCGGGCTGAATGACTATGCCTCTTTCGCGCACCTCCAGCACTGGATAATTAATGCGATTGAACCTTCTTTGAATTGGGATGTATTTCCCATGTGGATTTGCCTATGACAGGGATGCTTCTTTTGAACGTGGTCATCGATCTTACTAGTTGGTGGGTATTTGTTGTTTAAGTAACTCCCTCGTGTTTTTTCAATTTAGCACTTTCGTAAAGCTATAACCGTCTCCATTCGCGAGACGAGCCGCTTTTCCATTGTTAGATTATGTAGCGGCCACAGAGCCCACCGTAGAAATCTCTGCAAAGGCCAACAAACGTCTGATTCAAGGCGTCTGACAAGAGTCGACAGCAGTCAAAACTCTTTGCCGAGATCAAATTAAATGGAAAATAACAATGACCCGCAATCTTCTCGTGCAACTCGAAGATCTACGACAGATTGCATCACACAACTGATGGATAGCCACTGGACTTCAGCAGCAATCGATTGGTACCCAAGGGTCTGCAAGCGCCAAATTGAAACACTGGCTCAGATACGAGGATTAACTGTACGAGAGATATGGAAACTTGCGACGAAAAATCTTACAAGTCAGACAAGGTGGGCATCGATATTTGGCAGTGGTGATACCAGTTAATTACAAAGAACGACCACTCATTTGTTGGAGTTAGAACGTTCTCTATGCGCTTTACTTTTCGAACGGTATATTTTTTATTTCGGTCACACTATGAAATATCACAAAGTGGTGCAAACCTCACTTCAGTTTTATTTTCTACGAAAGGTTAGAGAACTACAGTACACTTCTTAAAATCCTGGCTGTTCCTAGTAGAGCGCCCTCTGCAGCTCGGTCACTTAATCAACAGACCAGCTGGCTCTGATATCTTTTTATTGCTCCTACGAAACCGGTCACCACTTGAATGACTTCCCTCTATACTCTCTATATCTTGTATATTTCGATCCTCCATTCTAGTTGTTTCAGTATCTTTTCTCTCTTTAATAACAGTGCAGCCGTCATCCCGGCGTGCTGTATCAATTATTTGCGCTCATCTTTTCGCTTTGTTTATCAACACGATATCCGGACAATGAGCCGCTATTTCTATCTCAGTTCGTATTGAGAAATCCCAGTGAATTTTCATTTGCTGAGTCTCTTCCACCGCTTTCAGCTGATGTTTACATCACTGCTTTGCCATTAGCAAGTCGGCTGGCTTGCACAAATGCCCATGCATTGACCTTGCAACGTTGTTGTGCATTTCTTTGTATTTTCGATTCGCGAGCATTTCGCAGCTGGAAACTTTATTGGGCAAGGTCGCATTTTTTGCTTAACACAAACCGCAGTTTGTTCCGCTAGCTTCTGGCTGTGAGGATCTTAGCCTCGTATGAGTTCATGTTGCGTGCTTGGTTTTGCAGTCCTACTAGAGGAACTCCTGTTTTGATATGGAATCCACTTCCTGGTAATTTGTTGGTTGTCTGTTGGACGTCTGGATGTCTGTGCGGTCACCGAGTTAGCGAAGACGCGGTCCATTAAGCATGCTGTTCTTCGAACCATTCCTTACATTTACTTGTTGATTTTCTGCATTTCTAACTA